CTACTTTCCCCAGCTTGAAGGAGGCAGTGAGGGTGAGACCTGGCGAAGGGCTGGTACAATGGTCTGAGCCAGCCTTCGCCTGGAGATGAAAAGGAGCCGGAGTGGGATGCGCGAGGGTGGGTAGTTTGCTGATGAAGGGAGAAGAAGGTGTCTTCTGAAATAAAGAGAAAAATAGAAATAAAAGATAAATACATAATAAAGAAAATAAGAGGGAAAGGAAGGGCAGAAGGAAGGAAAGGGTCTTTATGTGGAGTGTGCCGTTTGGGTTTTTATCTCAGGTACATGGCGTTCGTGCAACTTGACCTGTCAGCAGACGCCCAGGTGGAGGCAGCCTCGGGGGAGGGAAGCGTCACTTGGCCACCCATTTTTATAGCCAACCGCTGGCGGTAAAGCTTCTCTGAAGCCTCCAAGACTGCGCCCCCTGCTGTGAACTAGGAGCCCAGAGCCCAGGTTTAACCTTGCACCCCCAGGAACCCACTGTCACTGCGTCCATGGCGGTCTTCATTTGCTGACTTTTAAAGCTGCCGGCTCTTGGGAAGGACAAATACCATACCATATGATTTCACTTGTATGCGGAATCTAAAGAACAAAATAAACAAAACTGAATCAGACTCATAGATACAGAGAACGGACTTATGGTTGCCAGAGAGGCGGGGGATTGGGAGGTGGGTGAAACGGGTGAAAGGATTAGGTACAAATTGGTAGTTACAAAATAGTCATGGGGGTGTAAAGTACAGCACAGGGAATGTAGTCAATGATATTGGGATAACTATGTATGGTGCCATGTGGGTACTGGAAATATCATGGGAACACTGAAAAGTATATGATGGTCTAACCACTATGTGTATGCCTGAAACTAATACAAAATAATAGTGTTAACTGTAATTGAAAAAAATTTTAAACTGCCAAATCCTAAAGCTCCAGCAGTCAAAATGAAACTGGTGGCTGGACACATTTCCACACCTTCTCTGATCCTTCTGTAGTCCCCATCTTATGACATCATCTTAGAAGCCTTTTGCCCTACATTTCTGGAAGACCCAGAGAGGGAAAACTCAGAGCAGCGCTTAGGACCCAAAGAATTGTGACCTAAGTAATCCCTACAGAGCAAGGTTTGCAGAAAAGCGAAGGAACTCAAGGCGTGCAGAGGGGTGTGTGCCAACTTGTACAACTGGCCAAAATTTTAATTTCAGTTCAAGAATGTCCTACAGTTCAAAAAAGATTTTGTTTGCGACATAATCACATCATGGAAGATGAAAGAAGCACAAGCTTCATATGCAAATGTTTGTATTTGGAAAGAGAACAGAATGTTAGACCCAGAATCCAGGAAATGCCAGCGCAAAGCCTGTACATGTTGAGATAAACTAGACCCAGTCATTGCCCTACCATACGGCTGACAGATCTCGCTTTACTTTTGTGTTCTCCTTTGGAAAAGGTTACTTAGCGACTTAGATATGCCTGTTATATGATGGAATGTCCCCTTTGTCTATACGCATGATATTACCATTGGGGACCCCCAAGACATTGGACATATGAACTACTTAAAAACTTAAGTCAGAACAAGATGATGACCCTGGAAATGAAGGTTTCTGTTTATCAAAGAGATCCATGGATTACGTTCTATTGTTCATCGTCTTGCACAGTCCTGTGCCATATAACCAATGGATGTTCAACAATTATTGATCAAAGTCATGAATGTTTTTCTTTGTTTCCTAGACACAACCTATCAGTGGACAACATATTACAATACAAGTAGGTGATTGTTTGTGCTAATGGCTAATGAACAGGTAAGAACTTCAAGCCAAGTACCCAAATCCAATGGCTTTCTTCCTTCTAACCTCAGCCCTACCACCCACTGCCCACTGAGGATTGGATCAGGTCACACTTCTGTGTTGGCATGGCCAAAACAGTCAACTAACCACCAAAGGCTTCTTAAAATGGTCTTCCCAGCCTTAGCTATATGGCAACTCTGTCCTTACATTTGCTCAACTCAGAAACCTTGGAATCCCTTTTTAATTTATTTTATTTTTCTATTACAGTTTACATTCTATATTATTTTGTATTAATTTCAGGTGTACAGCATAGTGGTGATACCATCATACACTTTACAAAGTATTCCCCCTGATATTTCCAGTATCTATCTGGCACCATACATAATTATTATAATACTAGAGGCCCGGTGCACAAAAATTTGTGCACTGGGGGGGGGGCGGTCCCTCAGCCCGGCCTGTGCCCTCTCGCAGTCTGGGACCCCTCGGGAGATAACGACCTGCTGGCTTAGGCCTGCTCCTGGGTGGCAGAGGGCAGGCCCAATCCCTAGGTGCAGCCCCTGGTCAGGCTCAGAGCAGGGCTGATTGGGGAGTTGGGGCACCGCCCCCTGTCATGCACAGAGCAGGGCGGATTGGGAGATTGTGATGCCACCCTCAGTCACGCTCAGGGTGGGCTGATTGGGGGGTTGGGGCACCGCCCCCTATTACACTCAAGGCAGGGTCGATGGGGAGGTTGCGGCGCCACCCCCTGTGACGCACAGAGCAGGGCCAATCAGGGAATTGGGTGCTGCCCCCTGTCACGCACAGAGCAGGGCCCATCAGGGGGTTGGGGAGCTCCCCCCTGTCACTCACAGAGTAGGGCCAATAGGGGAGTTAGGGCACCACCCCCTGTCACACACAGAGCAGGGCCAATAGGGGAGTTAGGGCACCACCCCTGTCACACACAGAGCAGGCAAATCAGGGGGTTGGGCGCCGCCCTCTATCACCCACGGAGCAGGGCCGATCAGGGGGTTGGGGCGCAGCCACTGTCACACTCAGCGCAGGGCGATGGGGAGGTTATGGCTCTACCCT